GCCCCCCCCCCTCGCCCCCTCTATCAGCGCCGTGGCCTTCTTGATGAGGTTGAGCGCCACCTCCACCGCCGTTAGTCCCGCCTCGTCCCTGATGGTGCAGTCCGCGCCGGCCTCCAGGAGCAGCCTCACCGCTGTCGGGGACTGCGAGAACGCCGCGCAGTGCAGCGCCGTGTGCCCGTGGCGGTTGCGCGCCACCAGGCGGGGGTCGTCGGGGCCCAGAACGGCTACGGGAGCCTTGCCGTCGCCCGCCGACGCGTACCTGCCGGTCTTTCGCGGCGGCGGGCCGCTCGCTTTGTTTGAGGGGCCGGTGGTGGTTGCCAGCCTGGGCTGCAGCAGGGCGTTGAGGGTGGCGGAGCTCGCCTCCGTCTCCACCGCCGATAGGCACGCCACCATGAGCGCTGAGATCGATCGTGCCGGACGTGGCGGCGCACAAGCAAAAACGACGGCAGAGCGGGGGGGGGGGGCTAGGGATAAAAACACTTGTGTGTTCGAGGGTGAAGAAAGAACACCCAACCTTCAACGGCTGCGGGTGCTCTCGTCTATGGGTGGCAACCGGCGGCCCGCCCAAATATAACCACGCTCCCCACCCTGGGTCAAACTCAAACGTTGCTCCGACAGACGCCACCCGGCAACCTCAGGGCGATGATTGTTGTCGCAGAAACGAAGGGGAAGGGTTTTCATGTGCTGGAGGCATTTCTGCTTCGGCTTTGTAAGGGCATCCCTGACAATTAACGGAGGAAAAGTTGGCCACAAAAAAATACAGACCTCCAAACAGAAAAAAAAAGTGCCATACGACAACCAAGGGCACGACAGCAGCGCGAAGGACAAAGCTACTGCGATGTCAGCAGCGCGTCAAGGGCATAGTCAGCAAGGACCACTGCCGATGCCCGTAATAGATCTCTCGAAAAGGGCGGCGGGCGAAATACCTGTGTCTCCCTGGGAGGTGGCTCTCTCCTCAATGGTTGGGTCGACCTCGAGAAGCCGAAGCACGATATCTTCCTGTTGCGTGTTGGAGGTCGGGGAGGGGCGCGCGCGGACGGGAATTCAGGAGACGAGGGTAGCGGCGGCCCTCTTTCCCAACAACAATCGAAACGGGTGCAATATTCCTGCTCCTCAAAGTCGACGTAGGATCTACCCGGCAATAAGGCTCACACATTCCTTGGCTGTTGAGCCCTACCGTCCCACGATTGTTAGCTGCATGAGGCGTGAAGGGGCAAACGAAAAAGGCACATGTAGCGGGGTGGGGTGGGGGGGGGAGGGGGTGGCGGGCGGGCACGTGCGGCCCGCGTGGTGGCGTTCGTGTCGTGCAACCGTGAGCCAGCACCCCAACAAACAGAAACGAGCCCACATCATTGATTTAATCGGAGTGCAAATGAACGTGTAGGTCGCTGGACACGCATCCTTTGTACCCATCCCTTCGCCATCCTACCGCTTTCCCTACAACATCTCTGGCACTTACTGCTGCCTCCCGAAGTGTTCACAACGTACAACTGGCAAACGGAGGACACAAAAACTCTCTGCTTCTCGTCCAATGAAAGTAGCTGCGAGCGCACCGCGTTGTTCTTGGCTGCGATGTGAAGGCACGAGCTCTGCGTGTCGTTGGTGACCATCTTCGTGGACGCCCTCGCCTTGAGGAGTAGGTCCAACATCTTCAACTCCCCTGTCGCGGCGGCGGCGGCGGCAGCAGCAGCGGCGGTGGCGATAACAGTAACGGCGTGGTTACAAGAGGTTCCGAGGCAGAGCGCACATGAGACAACTGCCGGCTCGAAATACTTCAGGGATGCGGGCGGGAAAGTCACATGCACACGATTGCAACGAAAAAATCATCCGCGGGACCGATTTCCAAGCCTCGATTGCTCTGCAGCAAAATTCGGGCTGTGGCTGCGCCGAAGATGGCGGCGTTGGAACTTCGTCTCGCCGACAGCCTTCCGAAAATATATCATGTGATCTTGGTATCCTCTTCGGCGTGCGGTATGTAGTCGAGCTTTGGAAATCGGTCCAGGGGATGTGTTTTCTCATGCCAACCTGCGGGGTGCGGATGCTTGTTCTACGTTCGGCACAAGGCATGCCAGGGTTCCAGGGAGAGGCATTGCGGAAGAGGAGTAAATATTGTTCGGAAGTGACGAGCAAAAAACCTAGAGCACAACAACGGAAACTTTCAAGATAATCGTTGGCCTTTCACTGACCTTGATAAATATTCCTGCGGTATGAGTCTAAAGGTTATGGTTTCTTGATTTGTCAGATCCACCAAACAACATACCTACCCGACCTTGGGCAGAGAATCGCGACGTCATTTGACGCTCAGATACAGTAGCTAGCCTGCTTGTACCACTTTTTTTTTTGGTCTGCACTTCAAATCAGCGCTCACAGCACCTGTGCCGTTTATTCCAACCCGTGGTCAAACAGAAGGGTTCCTCTCCCGTAGGCCCCCCACCCACCCACCCCTTCATGCGGCACGTTTCCTATGTACTTGCACTATAGTCGTTTTATGCAAAGCTACAAGAAGCTCCAGGCATGCCGATTGCCACCTCGCATGATACCGGCTGTGCTGTGCATACAACCGTCTTCGTTTTCTTGAGCGCCTCACACACCGGTAGACATAAGTCAGAAAGGTGCCATGGTGCCGCCACAAATTGTACCTACACGTGTACAAGAGCTGCGGCCGTCGACATGATCTAGAAACATCCTGACGCCGGGGAAGAGCAAAAAAAAAAAAAAACACGGACGAAAAATCTGCAAATCCATGGTCTTGTTGTCTGCAGCTCCAACGGGGAAATGGTCACGCCACCACCATTCACTTTCGCGAACAACGGTCTGCGATAGAAACGAAAGAGCAGCGACCCAACTATCCTCTCTAGGCCAGTAAACTAGATTCGGACAGCTCGCTGGCGCGGCATGTTTTGACCAGTTTAGTACCACACCGCGGGCTATTTTGCGGGTTGTGTCATCTTTTTGCGGTGCGTATTGGCCGTGAGAAGTTACCGGCCCTGTTTTACGTGGGTGGCCTGGGCAATGGGTATCATCTCGCCCCGGCACATGATGCGAAGCGAACAGCCATTTCGAAGCTTGGCTTACACTGCTACGTTCATGTCAAAGGGGGTGCGAGCTCTGCTGTAGCCCTGCTGTTGGCGGAAGGGTGCTGCTGAGTGCCGGTCGAAGCGTGTGTGCGATATCTTACCTCGTTCACAGGCGATGATGAGTGGCGTTACGCCCTGCGCGTCCGTCGTGTTCACATCTGCACCCCGAGCCAGCAGCGTCGCCGCGCGTTGCACGTTCACCCGATGCACAGCCTCTAGCAACATAGACATCTTGTGCGGACAGTTAGAGTGGTGCTTGAGGCACCCAACGCCTCTCAGCAATTGTGTGGCCTTGCAGCTGCAGACAGAGCACGCACGAAAACCGCAGAAAACGGACCAGCGGCGAAATAGGGGGGATCCGGGAAATCATCACGATTTCGCGGCTCCCCGATTGTGGATGCTGCATCGCATGCACGACAGGACCACCGACCACCTTCCGCCTCCGCTGCCCATTTCAAAGCTTTCGATAGACGGGACCGCGTGGGTGAAACTCTTGAGAAGGCGAGTCCTAGATCAGACAGCTCCTGCTGACAGCCTTTGCTGAGGATACAGAGGTGCTTGCACATTTTCCCGTCTACTACAGCAGCAGCAATCTTGCGGTAGCTATGGATGTATGAAATGTAGTTCTACGTAGAGTAGGCCTCTTTGTCTCGGAAGGTCCTGATTCCCTGTAGGTGATAGGGTGCCATTGCTTGGATAGATCCCCTAAAGGTGTGTGTTGTGTTGTTATACCGGGGTGTACACCGCTGTTGGCTGTACATTCTTTGAAGAGCACCTACAATTGTACTTAGATTTGTTTTTTTTGTGTTGAGAACACGCCGCCGTCGGAACATACCGACTACAGTATGACGGCAGTGGTCGACGGTCCTCAATAGCGGTGCCCTCAATAGCGATATGCCCTCTTTAACGGCATCAAAATCGCTTGGCACGAATGCATCCCTCAATAGCTGTACTTGTGCCACTATTGAGAAACGAATCCTTTATAGCGGCATTGTGTCGCTATAGTCAACAATGCAAGAGAACGGCAAGGGATGCATCCAAGGTCATAGGAGTCAGGGGTGGCGGGGCTTACAGCTGCACTCAATGCGCTCAGTGTGGGCGTGAAGGAGGTAGCGGTGGGGGGAGGTGGTGGTGAACAAGACTCAGAGATGTGTGAGGTACATGTGCGAGGTACTCTCGTACCTCGGCATCGTCCCGTGGGTAGGTCCGCCACCCCGGCAGCCATCGAGGAGGTCGAGAGATCTTGGGTGCAGCGATTTACAGGAGCAGGATGAGGTGGTCAAGGCTCTCGCCGCGGACGCGGAGGCGGCGCTCAATGGGAAGATACATGACAACTTTACAGAGGACTCCGATTCCGACGAGGAGGAGCTGAAAGACACGGGGGAGGTTGAGAGTGCAGGGGGTAGGAAGTTCATGGCGCCGCCGCCGTACTCGGATCTGTCGAAATTTTCGGTCCACTAGAGCAGTACGCACCGCAGTATAATAGTGCTATCATTACTGTGCATCCGATCAGTGTATCCGATATCGCCGTTCGTCATGTTTGTTGCATTACGTTGCCGACGGCTTCCGGTGGGTCAGAGGGACAAGAGGGAGTGTGTTCTCGAGAGTGAATGCCTTGTCTTCTATCCGCTCTCTTCGTCTACCTCTGTCTCTCGCCTTCACAACAACGCGAACTGGGATTGTTTGTTAGTAATGTTTTAGGGTCCCCCACCCACCCACCTTTTCAGCAGTTTTCTGTTTTTCTTGCCATGTCCATGACGTGGTGCCCCGCGTGAGCATGGTTCGGTAGGGAATCGTAAACCATGACCCCTCCCTGAGTTGAGCATCAGCTTCCGCCTTCTGTGGCGGACAAGAAGAAGACCGCAAATTGTCTCGCCGTCCAAACAACAGTTTTCGGACAGTTGAAACGAAGAGGGTCCGGTCTGTGCCGAAGATGTCGTTTGTTGTGTTTTCTTGCCGACTAATAATCTCGGCTACAGTGCAAATCTCATGGCGCCTCAAGTACGGTTCCCTAGGGAATTGGAAATCTCGACCCTTCCCCAAGTTTGAAAAGCTCCCGCCTCCTGCGGCGGATAAGACCGGCGTCAAACCTTACATAGATTTTGTCTGTGTCTGTGTCGCCATGTCGCCATCCATTCGCCAACAGCAGTTGGAGAGCCTAAAAAAAGACTGGTCCGCTTCGCCACCACAAAAACAGATTTTTTTCGCGATTCTTGCCGTGGGTGAGAGGTGATGCTAAACGGTATGTATCGGGTTATAGGTAGCTGTGTTTCAGCTTGAAGGATAGGGTCGACGGCAGCACATTCTATGCCAGGGGTTAACGCCTTCCTCGCGTAGCGATGCGCATCTCCCACCGCAAGCAGAATATAGTACGTCATGATGATGACGTTCGTTCTTGTGACCACAAATGCAAGTTCGCCCGGGCGTTTTTGTTCTTCCTGAAGTGAAAGGGACTAGACTACCCGTCCTTGTATCCGGCTCCTGCATGTGAGGCAGCGCGTGCTGCCCCTGCTGTTTGTTGCAGTCTTCCGGTGGGTCAGAGCGGCAAGGGTGCCTTGTTTCTTCACTCTGCTCTCCTCTTCTTCTTCTTTGTTTCCTGTCGCTATTATAGCGGTCTCTCTTGTTTCGTCGCCCTTCCCTCTTGCTTGCAAGAAACTGCGAGGATGTACTTTTTTCTGAGAAACTGACCGTCTGACTGTTTCTTGAAGTCCCCCACCCACCCTTAACCCACCTGTCGGTATGATTCATGGTCTCCATTGTTTACAGCAATACTAGTGGTCTACTACAGGACATACATGCGCTACACTGCTGCGTCCATGGGTGCAACAGAAGGGCCTTCTACTGAGAGGCTCCTGCCATCACCACAATACGACTCTATGCCATGTCCACGACGGGGAACGCGTACTTCGCCTCCGCTTATTTTCCCGTCTCTCCTGTCCGGCTCTTTCGTCTGCTTTGGGGTGGGTGGATTGACGAGGCAAAACAGGAAGGATGCAACGATTAAAGTGCTTCTTGGTGTAGTCCTCTGGACGAAGTCGGGCCGATGGATCTCGCTACTATAGTCTCTCCCACACACAGCAGAGCTTCGGGATGCACCTCTCTCCACAATATCCCGTCTTTTTCTTTCTCTCAGATTAGGAAACATAAATACAAACACAGAAAGACTACCCATTCGAGATATGGCCACAGTCCAACGGGATGTGTTGAAGTCTTAACAGTGAATGGAAGGAAACCGGCTGGGTACTGGGCTTATTTGGAGTCTATTTAAGCCTTAACGCTGATTTTTTTTTATCAGTGATGCCAGCACGTGCTGATCACAAAATCACTGTATACCAATACCACAAGACATCTCCCCCGTAGTTTTCTCTATCTACGGGGTCAACGACAACAATAAAGGGGAGAAACCCTCCGTTGTGTCGTGTGTTGTAATATTCTGCCTTTACACCTCTCTCCACAATATCCCGTCTTTTTCAGATGACGCGGCGCTTTCACAAAAGAGCGAGGTGTGATGCTTCTGGCTCACGCGAACATCACCCCGGGTGTAGCCACCAGGCGGCAGCAACAGCAGACGATGCGGGGCCTCCAGACTACTCGCTGATGCAGGTCTGGGACAAGCGGTACCAGGACGGCGTGTCGGTGGAGTGGTACTGCGGCTTCGACCACGTCCGGCCGCTCTTCGAGCGCTTCATTCCCAAGGTGTGTCCCATTTGGTTGAGATTCCAGCGAGAGAGAGCGTTCGCTACAAAAACGGGCGTGTTTGAACGCGTGGCAGGGAGGAAGGGTGGGGCATCCACAGGATGTACACAAGGGGTACACGTATCTAGAGGCTCTGCCACGGATTAGTCTACATCCTCCGCGTGGACCTTGTACGTCCTTTCATGCGTCTCTGGCCACGTAGATGGTGGCCACGGGTCTACGTGCCCTCTGGGGGGACAGAACGGGGGGCGGAGATTTTCGGCCACCGGGGGAGTTGTTGAACCCGCCATTTGGTCGCCCTACGGCAACGGCGTGCGATCCGCAAGCTCGTGACCACGTGCTTCCTCCACGATTTGCAACGGCATCTTTCAGCTGCCACGTACGTTGTTTGCTACATAGACACGTGACACTTGGAGAGCAGCAGTGACCATAAAGCGGTAACCGTCCTCGCGCCTCTCCGGGACAACGACCACGACCTCTTCCCCCGTCCACGCGGCAAACGTGGACGTACGTACGTGATGCTGCTGTTCTCTCTCGGTGCCGCCGCCGACGTCACGAAAAAAGGAGTCAAGCGTGCTGGAGGTCGGCTGCGGCGACAAGCCGTTGGCGTGGGACCTGAGAGACGCGAGCTACACCGGAAAGATCACGAGGTGTGACTGGACTTGACTTGACTGACCCCCTTGCGTTGGGTACGAAGGGCTGTGTGAAGGCGCGGTTTAGTTGGGTTTGGGCGTGGGTTTTCCGTCGGGAGGTTGTTCCGACGCACGCCGACCTACTGGTTTGTATGACACCCTTTGCGGTGTAGGCCGGAACCGTTTTTTGATTTGGAGTAGCCAATTTCAAGTGGTCCCTCCGGAGTGGGGGCTCATGAGGGCACAGCAACTCCATCAAGGGGCATCAAGGGGCGACGCAAGATGAAAGTGAAGGCAGGCAGCAGGACCAACCGACAGCTGTCTGCCAGCTGCCAGCTGTGATGACGTTTGACAAGCTCAACAGCTCACATTAGCTGACGCGTTTCTGACTCGAACAGCCCAACGGACCTCAACTAACCGAAAAGAAAAATTTACAAATCTGTATACAGCAGTCTTACGGAGTTGTTGCAGTGCAACACCAGCAACGGCGGTTGCAGTGACACAAGCAAGGGTCGGTTGTTTTGGCGACAAACGACACTGCAGTAGATATGCATGAAACTAGCAGCCATGGAGTCGCTCGTTTCTCTACGATTGCCTGGGTGTTTGTTGCCGATGTTCCGCAGTTTTTGGTACATACCCCCACAGAATGCTAGATACGTCTGTTGGCGGCAAATAGACTACGTCTGCGGCAAATAGACTACGTAGCGTGGGACTGCAGTAAATGCGCGTTCAAATGCACAAGCATGGGGTCGTTTGTCCAGCTGGGGATGGCTCCACAACGGAGAGGCTACCAACGACGGCACGCATTGTGTTAGAACGACCTCGGTCGAGAGCTACTATGCTTTTTCTTGCACCTGCCGGTCGAGTGTCGGTACCACCCTCTTGGTTGCGGAGCAATCGATCTTTTTTAGAATCGATCGCACACGCTTGTGTCATCGCACGCGCTCTCACGCTGGTGGTACACATTTTATTTAGTGGCGTTTTTTGTTTTGTTTTTTGTTGTGTGTCCGTGTCCGGTAGAAAAGCATGCTTCCGCCTCTTCCCCCCCCCTCTGCTGATGTTGAAGCTGATCGATTCCCGCCCGCGCATCACGCCTGCAGCTTCGACTTTTCTCCCACCGTGATCGAGAGGCTCTTGTTGGAAGCCCGGAGCTGCGACCGCAAGAGACTTGATGCGGGTGTCGACTTTCAGGTGCGCGCCGCTCGCTGTTGCTGTGCGTGAGCTCCACGGCGGTTATGTTTTGGGGGCCGTGGTTCGTTTTGTATGGCAGCGACAGAAGAGGTGCCTGGTTGCCTGACCGAGAAGCCCAATCTTTACGGATGCGCACCAATGACGATGACGGCTTGACGTGGGACAGGTTGTTGGTTGTCGAGTACTTGGACCTGTTCCGAAAAGGGACGGTAGAATACCACGGTGCACTCGATATCGAGCGAGTGAGGCCCTGATAATGCCTTGATGCGCTCGATGTGGGTGTGACTGCATATCGGCGAACAGGCGCTTCGTCAATAGGCTAGGCATCTCGCCGTGTTTTGCCGCAATGCATTCTGTCTGGAGCGGCGCAACTAGCTGCCTGTGTTACTAGATTGAAGTGATTGCGAATCTCCTCCGAGAAGACGGCTGTTGTACGCGTGCGTGCTGGCTGTGCGAACGACGGGCGGCCATCCCCGCTAGCCCAGTGGTTCTCGAGCTCGCTACAGCAGAACACATCGTAATCTCCTGGTTGTTTTTTGTAGCGATTGCTCAACCACTCCGGTACCCGCGACAGCTTTTCCCCCTTACACATGAGTATTATAAGATCTTCGGAAACGAACTCCGATTGTTTCCTTGCTATTTTTTTGTTGTTGTCAGGTTCTGGACGCGCGGGATCTCCCGTTCGAGGACGGCTCGTTTGACCTCGTGGTGGACAAGGGGGCCGTGGACGCGATGCTCTGCGACGACGCCGGCCAGGAAAACGCCAGGTACATGTGCGGGCAAGAATGCCCCCCACATATGCGGGCAATGATGCCCTCCAGCAGGTCACTGCCTTCGATATGTTTTTGTTTAGTTATTCGAGGAGCGAACAGGTAAGGTAGGGTCTCCCTGCTGGTTTTGTCTACGTTCCGGCTAAGAGGTTTGTTCCCATGGGAGTTGAAAATTACTGCCATACTCTTTCTCCTTTTTGCGGCATCTTTGGTTGGTACCCTCAGAGTTCGCGCTGTTGCATAACGCAACGTGTTTTTTCTCTTGCAAAACATCACTCTCGTATCAAGGCCTTGTGTCATTGCATGCCCGTAGCCAGACTCGGCAGTTGGCGTTTCCGACTGGCCTGATCCACGTCCGACGGTGAAATCGTCTCTCCGCACTCCAGAGACAGCGGGCAAGTTACGACCCCGTCTTTCAGACACGGGGGAAAGGTGAAACTGCGCGTGCGAAACAAGGCCAACGAAATACGCAAATACCTGATTTGGCGGCGATTCATGCCACATTTTCATAGTCTGAGCGGTACCGGGATTTTCCCCGTGCGACGTCTCGGCTGTCATCGTTGCCACCCCAATGATCGATGCACCATAGTATCATCTGATACTGCTTTGCTATCCTCACCCCACGTTTCTCTTTATCTTCCCCTCTCGCCTCGCGCGGCATGCGCTCTCGTTTTTGCACTGTCTTGTCCTTGGGTTTTGCAGGGAGATTTGCCTCGAAGCCGCGCGGGTCGTAGCCCCGGGAGGCTGGTTCGTGGTAGTGTCGCACATTCACCCTTCCACCCCCGAGGGGATGGCGCTCTTGGAGGAGGCTCTGGTGCCGGCGCTGCGGGAGTCTTCTTCCTCCTTGTCCGCCGGGGAGGGCGGGGAGAGGGAGGACAGGGAGGGAGAATACGAAGAGGTGTATGAATACGAAGAGGTGTATTCCTGGTCGGTAGATGTCCACTGCGCCGACGGCGATGAGGAGGAGGAGGAGGAGGAGGAGGAGGAGGAGGAAGATAACGGTGCCGGCGGTGGCCGGGAAAGCGGTGAAGGGGGAGGAGGGGAAGAGCAGCATGGTCATGGTCACGGGGACGGAGATGAACAAAGCGCGAGCGGGCAAAGCGTGGGGCCGAGCGCGTACATGGCACGGAAGGTGAAGACGAAAGACGAGGAGTTTCGTCTTTTCGTCTCATTGGATCTAAACATGATTTGCTAGGCCATCAGCTTCCGACTTCCCCTGCTGGGCTTTCGGAGGGAAGCGTGACTATCGAGCCCGTATGGCGGCGGCTACGCCGCCTTCTGATAGGCCCTGCCTCTGCGCGGGGTCCCTCTTGCGTGAAGTTTTCGCGTGACGGAAAAAGCAGTTTTTGGCGTCGGGGTGTCTACGGTAGTGATAGCAACGTCGGTGTACCCCTGAACCCGCTTGTAGTTGCTTGTGTCACTCGAAACTACGTTTTCGTGTGCATTAGAGAATTTTGGAGTTTATTAATGCAAGGTGGCGCTTTGGGACCAGAGCGTGCTTAGTGCTCCCATCAAGACACCATGTTGCAGCACTCCCCCCCCCCCCCCGCCGCTAAGAACATTTGCGCCCTTTTTGGCCCCCTTGTTTGCTCGCGTCTGGCTCTGGCGTGTGCGAAATTCTTCTCTTGGATCCACCAGGTACCGAGGAGACACACACGCTCGTCGGCGTCGGGAGAGCCGCAAGCCATACCGGTCCGCATACACGAGTACTAAATAGCGTAGGTTTTCGGTTTCGGTGGTGACGCGAGACATCCCGTCCTAGGAGTGGGTAGCTTTGGAGTAATGGTTCGCCTGCGAGGCGAAACGAAAAACAGCATGTTGATGTGACATTTTTTGGTTTGTTTTCTTAGGTTCGTTTTTTTTGTCCTTTTTTTCCGGCATTCTTTCCTTGTGTTGATTCGTGGCACAGCAGTGGGGGTGGTTGTTGTGCCCATTGGAGGTGCCTCGGCTGACGTTTGAGCGGTGTCGTCGTTAGGCGTTTCGATTACACCGCCAAAAATGGCTGATGTGGCTTCATTTGGGGAGAGTCAATCACTTATCACGTTGGGCTCCATGATGGCACGCGTGATACAATCTGAAACCCGTGGGAATTCAGTGGAGGTCTCGAGCGATGTCGTCAATAAGCATGTACGGTGTCGCAGTTATGGAATTTTCGATGTATGTTCGTCGCCCACGCAAGCAACCGCTACAACTGCCATAATATTTTGGAGCAGTATGGATTGCTCGGATTCCCCGTCTAAAGTTGTTCGGGTGAGAGGTGCAATCCACCGCCGTTCGTTTTGCCCGCGTGGTCGATCTGACGCTATCTGGCCTCTGCTCTTTCCCGTTCGATGTTGGACTTAACTATAATAATACTGCTCGGCGCCGCAGACCCTTCGTTGTGAACAGCGCTCGAACTACCAATCAGTACGTCGCTTTCGTGAAGACCGAGCACAACGTAAGCGCATTCGCATGTCGTCCTTGGCACGTTACCCCGTAAACGCCGCCGGTTGCTTCAGCGGGGCAGCGTCGCGGGAGAGCCTTCAGAGCGCGGACATTTTCCAAGTCGCCCAACAGGAAGAATGTTTTTCAGTACCACTTCATTCCACCGTAAACGAAGAACATGAAAACCCCGCACGATTCCCGCCTGACACAATTGTTTGGGGAAACACGCCTTCTTCCATGGAACGTTCCATGGAAAAGTACGAAAATGTACACGCCTCAGCCCCGGGTACATTCGACGTAGACCCTCTGCAAGCCCTTTCTCGCCGCTGAGACAAAATGAATTTGCATCCGTCTGTAGTACGCGTTCCCGTCATGTCTGCCACGAAGCAACGATTTGTGACTTTTACTGTTTTTGGGTTCTCGCCGTTTTCGGACCAGCGCGCAGAACCGACGAAATTCTCCGCGGATATACACAGCTAAGCTCTAGCAACAACCCAACGAATTAAGCCGCCCAACTACATACAACAGGCACATGGAATTCCACGAAAAATTTCATGGAAGTCCATGGAAGTCCATAAAAGCAATCAAAAGTTTCATGGGAATCCATGGAAGTCCATGACACCATGTTCATGGAAGTCCATGGGCTTCCATGACACTTTGCATGGGCGTCAATGGACTTTCGTGGCGACGACGCCAAGTGTAACGGTATTGACACGCGTCGCAATCCCGCAAGACCCTGGTGAAGACTCACTTGTTGATTCATCTCTTTGGACAGCAGTGCGTGCTGTGTCCTTGCTCTCTGTGGTAGACTGAGCATGCATGTGGGGGCAGAGCAGCTCCCTCTAACTGGGGCTACAAAGGTCCTATCCCCTGCTTTATCCTTCAATCGGGAGTAACATCTCCCGCACTTTCCTCTGGGCAATTGCCCGCACTGCTGTTGGTACTTTCCTACACATTCAAATCCCATAACACCTGGGGTCAAGTCCAGTGACATGGACTTCCATGGCGCTCCATGGAATCCATGGAATCGCACGGCATGTTTCATGGGTTCCCATGGACATCCATGGAACTCCATGGATGGCATGTTGTCCATGGAATGTCATGAGCACCCATGAAATATGCCATGGTATTCCATGGAATCCATGGAACGCCACGGAATCCTATGGAATCCCTTAACACAGTTTCATGAACAATGCCCATGACATGCCCACGAAATGTTTTATCGACGTTGCGCCGGGAGGAGGACTTTCGTTTGCAGTTCACGTTCATTCAAGGCTCACAATTGGTCCGGCGCTTTTGGGGTTGCTTCACTGGAATATTGATGGGACGCCAGTGAATGTTTCATAGTAGATTTACTTATACCACGAAACATTTCGTGGACTTCCACGGACCTCCATGGACGGACATGGCATCATGGACTGCCTGCCATGGACTTCCATGACACTTTTCATTTGTTTCCACTGACTTCCGTGGAAGGTTTCATCGACCTTCCACGGACTTCAATGGACCTTCCACGGACTTCCTCCATGGAACGTTCCATGGACGTGCGTGCATGGACGTCCATGGACATCCATGAAACATTCCATCAAAAAGAACTCAGTATAAAATGTAGATGACTGTGTCGATCCCGCAATCACCAGGCTTCGCGACGTATGTATTTCATAGCGCCTTTTATTTGCATATGGTATCCTTTTTCGTGTTTCTCTAGCGGGCGGGATGCGGGGTGCGGGATGTACTCCTACTCCATCTGATCTACAGTAGTACAGCGCATCCATCAAAATTATCATCCATCTCTATCTATGTGGCGCTTCGCGAATGCCAAGAGTTACTCTTGCAAGGGGTCTAGGATGATGACACAGCATGCGCTTCAAATGCTGACAAAATGCGGTACCGAGAATTGTTCGCGGCTGGCTGTGTTGACACAGAGCAAGTGGAGGACTGCAAATAAGCAGAGATCAGCCAACTTTCGTCTCCCCCGCCAGCGTTGATATCATCATCGTCATTCATTGTGGAATCGACAGGATTTTTTCATACATTGTGTGTCCACATTCAAGAGGCATCGTCACGAAACTAGCTAGGTGTCCATGCAGTGAAAACGGACGGCATTGATCGTTGTCGCGTTTAGGGTGATGACTGTTGGCGTCAGTTGGCGTGTGACAACATCGATCGGCGTCTGACCAGAACAAGAGAACGGGCTGAGTTTATTTTCATAACGTGTGGCATGCGAACCTTTTTCATGGGGAAAGAGCTACACGACATGAATGAAGGAATGGTACAACACTGCGACAATGGATTCGAGAGAAAAATAATGCATTGATTTAAGGGCGCGGTTGGGATCGCCGTACCTCCTCTGAAAAATCCAGGAAACCCCTGCATATCTCGGTTTTCCAAAGTCTAACTCCAGTACGAAACTACCATCGTAAATTAACCGCCCGCAGCGGTCGCTTGTGTACAATGTTGTTAGTAGCTGAGGTTGTCACCCCTTGCGATACACTACAGACTAGCGGTCCGCGATTTTCCAAACGATCCTTCTATCATCGAGTTCGGTGAGCTACAAGCTAGATTTTTCAAGCTGCTGTGCGGTCCAATTTTGAAACGCTTCAAGCACCTTTGCCTTAAGCCTGGACATGCATATACATGACCCTAGGCATTCAAATCGACAATGGCGACCAGCTGGATATGTGAGGGAAGAGCTGCGCTGAAGTTCGCGGCCCCATACACTCACATAGCCGGTGATTCGTGTTCACCGTGTGCTTGAAGCGTTTCAAAATTGGACCGGACAGCAGCTTCAAAAATCTAGCTTGTAGCTCACCGAACTCGATGATAGAAGGATCGTTTGGAAAATCGCGGACCGCTAGTCTGTAGTGTATCGCAAGGGGTACAACCTCAGCTACAAACATTGTACACAAGCGACCGCTGCGGGCGGTTAATTTACGATGGTAGTTTCGTACTGGAGTTAGACTTTGGAAAACCGAGATATGCGGGCGTTTCCAGGCGTTTCCTGATTTTTTGAAGAGGAAGTACTGCGATCCCCACCGCGCCCTTAAGGGCGTCGCGTTGTTGTTAGTGAGTAATGTCTCATGAGACCCTCACACATACGCAATGCAATTTTAGAGATTTTTTCAACATCTTGAATTTCATACAGTCTACACTACCTCACAGAGGAAACTCTCAGGAGCGACAAACCACCGCTCCCTTCCTGTAGCCACTCCAACCCACGCCATAGTCATGGAAGGGTCGATCTTCACGGAGGCCGGCTTTCCGCACATCGAACACACGGGTACTGTAAGTCTTGGGACGTACGCACGTACGCGCTTGCTTGTGGATGCTGGCGATACAATATACATGTATGTGTGTACTGCTGTGTGTGTCCGGTGTCGAGGGACGGAGGTAGTAGTAGGTGTTGTTGACGTGTTACCGACACGATGGGTAGACTGTCACGTTTTCTTCACCTTGATAACTTGATGCACGTTCTCTCCGCAGCGAGTGACTCTCGCACAGCAAGTAGAACGTGGCACATGCAGCAATGAATGGTCGCTGATGACACAAGCCGAGAACCTCGCTTGTTTGTGCAATCTTACAGCCACATGTCTCAGGAACTTGAACTATGATGTGGCGCTGCGTGTGATCCAGGATGCTTATACCTGCACAGCTGGACGGCGAGCACACTACTACTGTGTTGTGCCGATGCAGTATAAACATGGGTACACGAGATGGAGGCTTCGCTGCGAGTAGGCCGGAAGGAGACGATGGTTTATGGTCTTGGAAAGAATGTAGGATTGCTTGTGGATGTTGACGATGATGATGTAGATAGTCTTATCGGTTGTTTCTCCAAAGAGAGAGGTGCTGTCGTTGGCACCTGCTGTATGTATGTGCTGTATGGACACATTTATTTCTACTGTAGGAAAAAACTGGGGATGTTTTGTCCCGGGCATGTCTGGGCACGGCACCTACCTATTTGATGTTCGGAGGACGCGGGGTCCGAAGGATGTGGCTTGAATGCAATACATCTGATCTGTCATGTGTCCCATGATCTGCTCAACAACGAACGGTGACGGAAAACACTCAATCTAACAACTAACACCTGGACCTTGTCTCGCTTGAACGCAAATACATGTGATCTGTCATCTGTCCCATGATCTGCTCAACAACGGTCACGGAAAACACTCAACCTATCACCCGCCTGGACCTGGTCTCTGTGGGCTACCATGTCCAGCAAAAAATTCGGCGAAATAATATAAGAAGAGAAACGACAAAATACGGGAAATCGAAGAGATGCGCCAAGATTCACAATTCACCCCAACATCTCACCGCTCTTCGCCCCGCCCGGAAAAACAATAGCCGTGCACCCAGAACAACACACACAGCTGGCAACCATCTCGTTCTACGTAGCTTCGGTTCGATTGTTCATCAGTATTTCTCGTAGTTCGGCGACTTTGCTTGGTTGAACTGAAACGACCATACTTCTTCTGTGTAGCAGGAGCTTGTTTGGTAGGTCTGTTCTTAGCCGGAACTGTGCACCCAGCGTTGTTTCACGCCCAGACGAAGAACTGGAAAATACAAATTGTTTGTACCAGGCAGATGCTTTTTTCATCCTAAATAAGTTCCTGCAAGCAGAACATTTTGTGGTGATCACACAACAAACATACATAATAGAGTGAAAAGTCACCATCAAGTTCCCCCGGCGGAGTTTGGCCATCCGCAACTCAGAGTTTCAAGAGTCGGTCGAGGACAGGTATGTTATTAGCAAAGGCTGCACACGAGACAGCAGGTTGTCACGCTCATGCAATGTTGCCGAACAGCACGAGGGAGAGTATTCCCACCAAGATCAGCCGTAAATGGAGAACGACCGTCAAGTCGGCAAAATCCAAGATCGAAGTACGAACGTGTAGCAAATTCTTCATAACACGATAAATAATTCGTCCGTTCCACAGATAGATCTCTTCCACAGCAGATATGATATCGGTCAGTGGAGATGGAGATGAGAACATATTCCTGTTTTGGCCACCACACCACATCCACCCGCACTACCATCGCACCTCCCCTCCTCATTCCCTCGGCATCTCCCCTCCTCATTCCCTCGACTCGACAACACCAGCAAGATTCTACACAGATCCCGAACCCCTACGTTTGCAGGTATGGTCTCAACACGCTCCTCCTTGTAGAACGACGAGCATGCTGCGTAGCCTACACCCACCCGTAATAGCCGTCCCTACCGTGCCGGATGCGGTCCTCTCGGGCGTTGGTCATTATTTTTTTCCGGCAGAAGTTGTTGTCGATGAGAACCGACGGAGGAGGGGTTGACGACAATATTTGCGCTGCTTTGCTGTGGGTCACCTGTGTGTTTTCTCGCGAGCAGTTCGTGTGAAGCAACACCTATTGTCTCGTCCATTCATCCCTCAAGGAGGCGGTTGGAGAACGACCGAAACTTATTTTTTTGCGTCGGCCTCCCATTGACAGCAAGTTCAGGGATTTGGGGTTGGACTTCTTCACCAGTCCAACCCCAAATCCCTGAACTTCGTATCGACCTCAGATGTTACTCGACCCGATGAGGACATGATTCGTTGCGATACAGCTTCCGGACGGATTTGGAGGAATCCCCTCTGGCTAAGCTAGGCAACGTGTTGACTACGCGTTGCGTGTTGGTCGTTTTTTTGACATGGACTGGGGTAGTGGTTAAGCCCTGACCAATCAGGCATGCCCGAGTTGTCGCCTGAGAGCCCCCTTGATCAACCCTCCAGTCTTAGGCATGCCCGACTTGCTTTCTGAGAGGGCCCCTCTTCAGCAGACGTTTGCCTGAGACATTTTTTTTTTTCGGAGACCACACGTGACAGGGCCGAAGCACCCAAGGTGCGACTCCTTCCGATGCCTGGACAACCAGGGCAGGACCTATGCATACAGACTTTTGGGCACGTCTTCACCCCACACACCGCCGCGGCGCAAATCTAACGCCTCAACAGGTTGCCCAATCTTGTCCGAAATTCCGACGGGTCCTTGAACCGAAATCTACTCATTTTTCCATGTACCTACCCTTCTCTTTCGTACTTTGTGACCTTCTATTGTCCGAAATGTGCTCACTCTTGTCCGATTTTTTTATACGAAAATCAACCTCCCGGTCACGGAGTCTTCCACACTTTCTACACTTTTGCCAAGCCGCCCATGGGTGACTCATGGGCTGCCCATGGGCACTTTGTTGCCCATGAGGGCCCTTTTGGTTGACATAGGCATGTCCATGGGCATGCCCATGAGTAGCCCATGGGCAGCCCTTGGGCGAGTCATGAGTATGTGCCCTTCAACCGGAACCTGTGTACTCCTAAACATCAGATTTTCAGCTAGGGAACGGCCATTGTAACGGCTAACAACCTTAACCCTAACCCTAACCCCAAGCCCACACGACACGTGCTAGTGGTGCTGAGGTTAAGTTTGTAGGTTGATGTTCCGATGGCTAAGTTCTTCGTTGATATGCCGGTGGCGAGTTCTAGGTTGAAGTGCCCACGGTAGGCACTTCGTGGGCAGTTCATGGGCCGCCCATGGGCAGCCCATGGACGGCCCACGGGTGACCCATGGGTGTCCGATGGGCGGTGTAGCAAAACTGTCAGCAGTGCGGGAGCTTGCCGGTCACCGCACGGGGGAACGTTGGCTCCCACTGCGCTTGTTCTAACAAGCAACCTGAGGAGATAGGCGATTGAAACAACCTTTTACCTCCTTTCTTTGCGGAAGATTGCGAAGGGCATGCATGAATACAGGAAGGTTCGCTCCCCGGATTTTTTACCCGTATCCCACCGCCTGCCCTTTGTCCCTTGAATCCCGTCGTTCGGTCGGGATTGACTACAATGAAGCGCTTTTTTTCTCCCTTGTCTAAAAACACTTTACATAACACCCCACGTGCTCCATTACCGTATCTAAACCTGAGAGCATCGCCGGATAGCAGAGAGGAAGGAAACCTCACACTCTGGCTGCCTCGGGTATCACACATCGTATGCTTACTCTTTCCTCGGAAATGTCAACGTGGTCGTCATCTCCTGACTGCGCTAGCTAGCGGTCCAATTGTTGGCAGTCTGGAATCCATCGAGCACGTTCGCCGCTTGTGGTTTGTCGTGTACAGTAGTTCACAAATCGTTCGCAACAAACACACGGACGGCAGGCCGTTGAAATACCCCGAACATTGTGGCGGTCGTCTTGCTGCGCTGAAACGCTGACTGGTTGTGCGAGGGTGTCGGATTGTTCCGCTGTTGAGAGATATTTCGTTGAGGAGTCAGCCCCCGCCGTTCTCCGCCACTGAAGCTCGCGACGTTTGCAAAACGTACGAATCATCAAACAACCTGGCCCGCTGGCCATTTCCGGGCGCGCGGAATCCTTGGGATCACCGCAATTGCGCGTATTATGGCCCGGGTGCGATCGTTTTCATTCGTTCCTCTCTTGGCTTACAGTAATACCGTATCCCCGTGTGCAACAAAACCGATGGGTGGCAAAGCACCGATACCGGTGCGGAAAACATAATTTCGTTCTAGAGTTTCCACCCCCCCCCGGTGCGATGACACCGATGTGAACAAAAAACAAATATAGGCGCTTCCTGGTACAAGTAGGGCAGCTTTATGGCACAGGATCCGTACCAAAGCACATACTCACACAACCTCGGTAAAACGAAACACTCGCCGGTGTCGGCGACTTAGACTGTGGCGAATTTCAACTACTTTAGAAAACTTGGTTTGCCTTCCTCAAGGGGCACGGTACCTGTAGTGCTCCATTTTGTTCGGTCGGTTAGAGGTGGGAGATATGTGCTGAGCGTTTGTTTGGGTACCACATAAAAAGCCTTGACTCGCCTGTACGCGTACACCTCGACGGTACGATGTGCAAGAAAGTATTGTTGCCCCAATTGGTACCTACCGGCCTCACATCCGTTCTTTACTTACGGTTGAAACCGCGCACCGCCAGGGTATCGATACCTTGCGGGATCATGCAAATTAACGACCCAAGCAGGGTTTCTGTCGTTGATATCAATGTCGTCACCGATACCGGTGCTGAACTGCAACTAAAATCACGTTCTTTTTTCTTGATTGTGTGAACTCCGGTGCCATAACCCCGATGGGTGCAAACTCACGTATGGTTGCCACAACACGTACTCACGTTTGTGTTTCGCACGCAAGAAGTGATGACCTTGTACACTGTCGTTCTGATCCCACGGCCTCCTACAATGCAACGGCACAGCAGCGGCGGCGGTGGTACAACCATGGGCCGATCTAGTCTGTTCGCCGCCGGTGCGCTCTCCCTGTTCCTGGGTAGCGTGACCGGCCAGGACTCGTGCGTCCAGGTGGCGTCCCCGACATGGGCGGCCACCTGCCCCTGCGACTCGGACGGCCAGTACTCCTTCACGATGGAGGGGAAGACCACGGTGACGGCGAACACGGTGAGACCGCCTCTCATCAACCATTCCATCCCTACCCCGACTTTTGTGCTCCTTTTCCCGTTCGGGGGGCTACAAACAACTCGCAGCAGCCCCCACAGTGTGTTCACGGAGTGGTAGTGACGTGTGAAGCTTGGACAGCCCCGACACTGGCGTAGTTTATTGTCGAGTGTCTCGAGCTGCTCGAGGCCACATATTGTCACAGCAGTGAGCTCCTCCTCGAAAATCTGGATCGAAAATCTGAATCGTGCCTGGGTGGTGAAACGTGTCGGAGAATATTCTGGTCTGTCGTTCGTGGGTTGACGAAAGAACACGTGAGTCATCGGCGCTTGCATTTATGGTCTTGATTTTCTGCACGCGAACAACCGATTGGGTACTACGGTCGGTTTCGCTGTATAGGTGTGTAGTCAGCAGTGCGTGTGGCATCGCCTGACATCGATCACAGCGGCGTTGACCTTCTTCCAAGTCACCACGATCGCCATGCTGCCGACACACAGGTCAATGTGGCCGTCATCATCGATTCCTCGGGGAGCGTCGACGACGACGAATGGGACATGTCGATGGCGTTCGCGAAGGACGCTGTTTCGTCCTTCGCCGACCAGAACCTCTTCACCAACGGCGGGAGCGCCTCCATAGCTCAGTTCTCCAGTTCTGCGTCGGAGGGCGGCACCTTTTACTCTCTCGAGGACTTCAACGCCTTCGTCGACGGAAACACCAAGTACTCGTCGGGGGGAACCGACATCATCGACGGCATCGCCAAGGGCAGGGAGCTCCTCAAAGCCTCTCCCGCCACCACTTCGTTCATGATCGTCACTACGGACGGACAATCCTCCAGTCCTAAGGTCTGCACACATTCGAAAACCTGACTGGGGTTTCGTTTCATAGGGCTCATCTTTACCGAGAACCTCTTCCCGAGCCCGCCGTATGTGCTACCTGTCGGCCGTTGTCGCTTGAACCATCGACGTTTCTCGTCCCGCGCAAGGTGCCTTAGTCTAGGGGGCGGGTATCACATGCACGGAACGAGTTCAGCGAAGTTGACCCCCCTCCCTCTCTTGTGTGTGTGTTTTTTCTCTTGCTCTCGGCGCGTGGACGCTTCTCGATGTATTTCTGTCGCCGCCAGGCCGAAGCGGACGCCGCCCGAGATGAGGGCACCATCGTGTACGCCGTCGGGGTGGGTACAGGCCCGACCCAGGAGATCCTTCTCGATATCGGAGGGGAAGAGGCCAACGTCTTCGACGTCGACGGCTTCGACGAGTTGGACGGCAAGTGTCTCGCTCCGAAACGCGTGTGTCTAGTTGTTTTGCTTGGTCGCTCATGATGGGTAGAAAACCACCCTGTGTCCACTAGAGGGCCGAGGGCGGTGGGGACACGTACGAAAGAAGCACAGCGGTGCACGTTTGACCGTTGTGCGAGAGCACAGACGGCCTCGGGAACGTTGAGGCGCGCCGCGACCACGACCAAAGAGCCGGGACTCCCTTCCGCATTGCGCAGCCTTCACCCCCCCATACTCTCAACCCACGCGTGCTCTCCACCAACGCTTTGCTGCCCCCCCCTGACGATCGTGCCCCCCCCCTCGCCGTCGCCCGCGAACTTGAATCCTTTCCCACCTGTTAACATCTCAGTCGCTCTCGCAGGCATCCTCTCCGCGTCCGGAAGCAGCGTGCCCTGCGCCGCCACGGGCGCGACGGTGACTGTCGAGTTCAACGGCATGGTGACGGGAGCCACCGTGGACGGCGGCAGCGCCACCTACAACGGCGGCGAGGTCGTCTTCACCGTCGGCGACCTCGAGGCTACCCCGACTGACTTCGAGGTCTCGCTGGACTGGTGCGGAGAGCCCGAGGGCGGCGAGATCATCGCCTCCGTGTCCTACGCCGACGACGAGGGAAACACGCCCGACCTGTCCTCCCTCGAGGGGTCGGCAGTCGTGCCCACCTGCGGTAAGCACGCGCATGACAGAGTGATTGATGATCATGTAGGCGTGTGTGTGACAAGCAAGTGCTGCGGTGATGATGATATGCAAATATTTACAATATTTGGGATGGAAAGAACAACAGACGATAGATTCGTCTGCGCACACGGGACACATGTGACACCGCCCGGTTCTCTTGATCTTCTTGCCGACGGTGAAGGGAAAGGCTGTTGTTCGAATTTTTTGTAGCCGGAGCGCGGTGTTGTATGGTACCCTCTCTGTTCGTTTCCAAACATGCTGCATACGTGAAAGTTCACGTGGAACGCAGAGCCGCCCCCATTTTTGAATCTTTCCGGAACAGTTACTAACGTGTTGTGGCTGACCTTGGCGCCAGTGCAACCTGCGTACGACTTGTGCGACCACGTCGCGCAACGGACCTGCTGCCGCGAATAATTGCTTGTCGCACTTGGTTCTTGTAGCCAGGACAACGCACGAAGCTGTTGAAAACTCGTGACAACCAATTTCTATACCAGCTTGTCCTCGTACGATCGTACCTAACGGAACTGCCATCCCTCTTTGGCATATTTGTTCGTCCCCATTGATGCACACCCGGCACGACCACCACTGCCGCACCTGCAAAACGGAACCAGCCAAACTTCAGATCTTGTTCCGTCCTGTGGCCGATGTACTACTACTGTAGTCATCCAAGTCACGTACCTACGCGCAATTGCTCCCTGCCACGTTGGGTAGTCGCGTGGGAGTCAACCTCTTCTCATTTTCGAGGAACAATCTTTTCGCAGAACTCTGTGGCGTCACTGCTGCAGTAGAGTGATAGACGGACCTCCTAAGGGGAGATGGACTATCCTTGCACGTGTCGCGGTCGCCTCCTCAAGATCTTTGAGGTAGAGAACTCGAGCTCCAGAAGTCGATCTTTATCTAGGGGGCATGTCCATAGCTCGAACATGTGTAGACTATTTGAGTTACGGCTCATGGTGGCAATCCGCATCTTGGCCTTCTGTAAGTTGAACAGAAACGCCATCGACATCGTCACGACCCCCGTCCCTCCGCGCGCGCCCGTACGTACTGTAGGTGTCATCTGCCCTAAAGGTAGCCACATCTGCGATGACCCCCATATGAAGGGCCTGCTCGGCCAGAGTATCGACTGGTTCGGCGTCGACGGTGAGTGGTACTCCTTCGTTAAGGACCCCGACATGGATCTGCACGTGAACGTGCGGCTCACGGCGCCTCTCCCCGAAGAGTTTCCTGATCGCCAGCTGGTCACCGGCCTCTCGATCATTTCTGAGGGACATTCTCTGGTTCTCGAGGTACGACCATCGATGCAGCAACGCAGCAGGCGGAGCTGTTAGTCGTGGGGCAACCCCTCATCAGTGTTTCGAAAGCACGTTTGACTGAAACTTCGGTCTTCGATTTCGGCCTGACCATCACGCACAAGGGCACCGTCTTCTTGCGTAGGACAGGGCTCTCCCAGCTACAGTAGTCGTGCATCAACTCGCGCGTCATGCGTCGTCTTCCACTACCCGTGATGTTCACTCGCAATGAAACTCCCTACACATTCGCTGCCACCTGTCTCGCTTTCGGTCTCTCGTTCACTTTCCGCGTCGCGCGTTTTGTATGTGTCGACCGCATCGATATCACTCTTGAACGGGGCGTCAATGTTGTGTTGCAGCCCGAGATCCGGGGCTCAGCACGGGGAATGAAGTCTGGCGGTTAGCTATGGAACAACTTCGTGATATCCTACAGTAAAGGATACAACGAGTGGGAAATTGTCGGGCGTGGAATGTGATTGTTTAGACGGATATCCAGCGCCATCCAGGTGACCGTTCGATGACCGTAATGATCTCGGAGAACCTACCTGTTCACACCCACGGTTACACACGAAAAACGATCGACTCAGGTGACGAACCCCTACTCGACGGACATGAACGACGGCTGCCCCGACGGAATCCCGACGCCATGCCTGGCAAACGGCGGACTTAGCGTCACCGTGGATGGCGAGAAGAACGCCGGGCTACTGCAACCAACCAGGTACTGTCAGCCTTACCTGGAGGACTGCGTGGTAGTTGCAGTAAGTGTCCTATGCATATGCCCCGTTAACCAGCTTCTTGGCCAGACAGCACCATGGCTCCGAGCAGAGTCCGGTAGAAGTTGGCATTGGATTACTGTACTGTACACCCGTTGCATCAGTCAGACTTCTCCGATCGCAGCGTAACGACTCAGAACCAGTCACCATCATCGCCCGCACCCGCGTGCACATGATATTCTCTGTTTGATCCAGGGGCGAGATCCTACCTGGCGGCATCCAAGTGTCCGCGGACAACCTCCCGGTACAATGCTGGCAGTTCGGCGGGCACAAGATCTGGGCCCGCCACTACGAAGCCAATCTGGCGAGGCGCAAACTACGTGCCCAGTCCTTCGAAGATTGGGTTTTGAGCTTCACGGACATGGCAGCCCACGATTGGTGAGTTGCTCCGCACTTGGCAGCAGCGTGCAAAGCACCGCAGAGGAAGGGTGCCGTCATTGAACAGATGAAAGGACAGAGATTTTCTGTGTTCGGAGCACGATATTGTACGTGCGTGGCGCGTTTGCGCATGGTTCAATCACCATCGTCGAGAGAGAATTCGTCGAAGGAGTCGTACATGTATGCATACTACGACAGTAGTTGAACGCGCTGTCCCGATGTGTATAGGCTATCGATCGTAGTGATATCGTGTGCGAACTGGGGAGACTAGGGCACCCCCAAAAGCTGTCTCTTCCACTGCAGGCTTGGGGCGCGAAGGTGACGTTCATCTGTTCCGTGAACCGACACCAACCCACGTTTTTGCCCTGTCACCGCCGACAAGACCACGTTCTGGTACAACACCCATTCCATAATATACGGACTGCAGTCACATATAGTCATGGCATTGCTTTGTGGTCACCTTACACGTGAGTGAGGCAACATGGTGATCTCATTCTTGCGTGTGTAAGTAGGCTTTCGAAGTATAACCTGTTCACGACGTTGATCGTTTCACTCGATATCGGTCATGCATGAACCGCGGTTCATTCCACATGTCGTGGCCCGTGTCACCGATTGACCACACCAGGTGCACCGAATACATCAACGAGAAGGGCCTCACGGACGTCCAGTCGTCCCACGCCATATACCAGATCGTCACGCCGGCGGTCGTCGTGCGGCTCAACGTCGGCGTCGGGCACCAGGACGGGGGTGAGGTTGACTGGGACGGTCGCGTTCTCCCCGACCTCGACGTGTGGCAGATGGACGTCGGCCTCACAGGTCTGTCCCTCGAGAACGAAGGGTTGACCGGAATTCTGGGAGAGACGGCCCGCCCTGTTAACGACGAGGATGGGCACGCCGTGATGGAAGGCGACGACGCCTACCGCGGGACTCCCGAGGACTACCGTGTGTCCGGTTCCCTGGGGATGGACTTCGCTCTTCTACACCAGAAGTGATGCGGCGAGGCGACGCCACCGCTATAGCAGTAGCATTACATCGCTTATGCCAGAGTGTTGGCTTAAAGTAGTTTCGGCGTACACATTCCCAAAGATGTGACGGTCCCCTTTGCCCCCACGTCAACTCGGTGAAAACGTTGTGGTGTTTGTGCGGTTGATCGCCGTTCTTAGACTTCGGTCCACGGAAGGGTGTTGGTCATCACTGCTTCGCGTACAGCAGATAGGGTTATCGAAGAGCTGCTCATTTTTTCCGTCTGCATTGGATGATGAGCCGGCATCGAGTTATGTAGTTCCGTCCATTGGTTCTGGTGTCTGTATTTTGTCATGGCTGCATGTCCTGTTGGCAATGTCATGTTACTGTAGGTCCGAGGTTCGTGCCGGAAATAGATTTCCTTCATCATTCATAATATGCATTTTCACTTACATGAACTTGTTGGCATTTTCAGTTTTCTCTGAATCTTCCAGAAGTGAATGTTCCATTCAGTGCTTAAGTATCTCTGTAAAAGAACTACATAGATAGTTGTATCGTAGGACATGGCAAAAAGTTAGATGCCATCGCTGAGCGCAAGTCAGTGCAAGGGTTGCCAGAACGTACTGGAAATGTTTTGCGTGCGGGGCACGCTTGAGAATATAGTGCACAGCAGTAGTGCTCAAAATTCGCCTGGACATGGACCTCAGCGTGCCAGTGCCGCAATGTGAGCACGGTCATTATTGGTGGATGTTTCTGGGTCGGTATGAGTCCACAATTTGGGGGATTAGCGCCCGCCCGCTCTATCCTCTCTTAGGGTTGTTGTAGCCGTTAGAGTGCCCGTTCCAAAGCAGATAATCTATTGTTTAGGAGTGCACTGGTTCGGTTAAAGGGCTCTCATTGACCGCCCAAGGGGCCGCCCACGGGCTACCCATGGGCTACCCATGGGCTGCCCATAGGTATGCCCATGCGCATGGGCATGGGCATGCCCATGGGGCACCCATGGACTTGTTAGTATACCCTTGTAAGTGTGTTGAACATGATGGTATCACTTGTATTTAGGACAGCAGACACGATCAGGACGCGGCGGGAGAGAGAGAGTGCCACGACACAGCAAGCACTCCCGCAGGGTCAAGCCCCGTGGATCAACCATGAAACCAACCCAGGGGACTATCAACTCCTATCTGCGTAGCCAATTCCTACAGTCCCGTTGGAATATTCTCATCCGCTTATGCACACACGAACACCCTCCCTGGTTCTTTACGCTAGTAACTAACCACTAGTGGGCATGCACACGCCGGATGTGACCAAAAAACCAAACGGACAAAAACCAACGCAAAAAAATAACAAGGGGAAACCCGGCCTCCGGGTCAAAACCCCCACCAATATTCACCGTTCCACCAGACATGTCACGTCGGGCTACTAGAGCAAGATCAATACATGTATAATACGAGTCGCGCCAGACTCCACGCTTGGAATCTACATCTACAAACGTGGGCGGCGTGCTATCATATTCTTCCTGCATGAAGTACCAAGATCATAACCCTGTTTCCAACAACGGCCTATCCCGATTCTTGGTAAGCAATAGCGTAAGACTATCCTGAGGAGTTGGTTCAAACAACTACCATGCGACTGCACTACTGCCTGTTCTTCAAACAAACATCAGATAAACATCGAAATCGCCCCCCCTCGCTGACGCAACGCGGCGCACCGGGGCATGAGGCAATCATCCAACATTTTCTGAGCGACACATAACCGGCATGCATTTTTCGACAATCCTCTGTTCTCGTCGACGTACAACACTGGTGTCCCAATTTTACCTCATACGTTCCTTCAGCGGTTCCAACAGTATTCCTGCACATTTCGCATCCTAGAGAACGGCCCCACGTGGCGGCAATCAAGAAGTTTCAACCAAATGACTACCAGGAAAATTCTGAACATGTGGACGCGAACGCCTCCGAGAAACACGGAACACCCTCCCTGGCTCTTCAACCAAAGTGCACTCATGACAACTATCGAGGATTACCAACTTCGCCACAAATACCATCAAACACCAAATACCGTCACGAAAGAAGTGCCAATCCAGCACTGTGATGCGTGTTTCTCCCCTCCCAGCGCTCGTCCCGGCCTGTAGCCTCGCCAGAAAAGGAGTTCCCGTTTTAGCACCACGATGCAAGTACCCTCCCCCCTCACGCCCCTCCCGACGTGCCGCGGGGTTCCCCCTCACGCCCTTTCCGGCGTGCCACGGGGCTGCTTCGATTTTCTCCCCCCCCTCACGCCCCGTCCGACGCGCCATGGGGCCTTAGAGTTTCCCCCCCCCCTCGCGCCCCGTCCGACGCGCCATGGGGTCTTCGATTTTTTTTTCCCCCCTCGCTCCCCGTCCGACGCGCCATGGGGCCTTTGATCTTTTACCCCCCTCGCGCCCCGCCCGACGCGCCACGGGGCTAATGTTTACCTCCCCCCCACGCCCTCCCGACGCGCCATGGGGCTACATTGATTGTTGCCCTCCCGCGCCCCTCGCGTCGCGGCTGCGAGCACACGGCCCTCCCGCCGTGTTATTTTACTGTTGCTCTCCCGCGCCCCTCCCGTCGCAGCTGCGAGCACACGGCCCTCCCGCCGTGTTATTTGGTTGTCGCCCTCCCGCGTCCCTCCCGTCGCAGCTATGAGCACACGGCCCTCCCGCCGTGTTATTTGGTTGTTAACCCTCCCGCGCCCCTCCTGTCCCGGCTGTGGGCACACGGCCATATCGCCGTGTTCTGCGAACATTGCCCCCCCACGCCCTTTCCGTCGCGGCTATGGGCCTCACCCCCCACACACGCTCCGTGCTGCGCGGCACGGGGCTGTTTTGCTTGTTGCCCTCCCGCGCCCCTTCCGTCGCGGCTGTGGGCACACGACCATCTCGCCGTGTTCTCTGAATGTTGCCCCCCCCCACGCCCCTTTCGTCGCGGCTATGGGCACACGGCCTTGCGGCCGGTTTTCTGGGTCTCCACCCTTCCACGCTGCTGCAATGGTGCCATCTTCATCATCATCATCTGCTGCTGCTGCTGCTGCTGCTGCCGCTGCTGCTGTGTGTAGATGGAGCGCGCGAGGTGTCCCGCGCTAGTGTCTTTCCCCCGCCTGATCTTTCAAGGCCTCACATGCCATACCTAGCTCTTCGTCATCGCTCGCCACCACGATCGCCAGGGCTGCCTACGGGATCTGCACGATACTGACCAATTCCCCCGCTTGTTGCATCGATATTATCTACTGCCTCACCCCACCGTGTCCTTCTTCCCATGGCCCCACGATTAGCTTCACCTGGTTGTTTTGATGGCGCATCGGCGGCGTCGTGGGGATGCATGCTGCCCCAGCTCTCTAGACGCAAGCACTTTCCCGCGGTCAACAGGCACACTTGGTGTGCCGTCTGCGGCGCTCCCTCCAGCACCGCACAGCTCTTCTCGACGTGATGGGTACGTTGCTCTGACTCTTCGGCAAGTGCTCGAGCGGCGGCTGCATCTCTACCAGCGTTGCCTATGTTGTAGAGGTATTCGGTGTTCTGGAATCTACCAAACCCACCGTTAGCGGGGACCTGAAATGCCCACACCGGTTCGCCTTCCGCAACCGGCCGACTGCTGATGATGATCTCTTTTGCAGCCGTGTAGTCTATGCAAGCGCCGACCGCAGCAGGCTGCTCTTGGGATGATGATCCCCTGACGTCCCCGCTGCCCGGTCCTATGCCCAGGTCCGCTCCAGCAGGGATCCTTGGCACTACCGGGCTGGTTCCCGGTCTGGTGCTTCTTCCCCCGTGCTGTGCGGGCGGCGTGATTCCGTCGTTGTGCGGCCCCTCTTCCAGCAGACCGCGGGCAGACGTGGCGCCCGTAACGACAGCGCCCACCGTGGCGCCGCCGGACCCCCCCTCCTTCTCTAACTTTCCGAGGGCGGCTCGGAGTAGCCCTGCCAGCTGCTGTACCTCGTCCGTCAGGCCTGAAACTTTGCTCTCCAGGTTGTCAACCCTGCCCTGCGTACTAGTGGTGACGTCGGCAGCCTCTGCTGCAACATCGGCGCCACTCTTCTCCAGCACGGGTTTCCTCGAGGGATACACTCTAGAGTGTTAGTATACCCTTGTAAGTGTGTTGAACATGATGGTATCACTTGTATTTAGGACAGAAGACACGATCAGGACGCGCCGGGAGAGAGAGAGTGCCACGACACCTGCACAGCAAGCACTCCCGCAGGGTCAAGCCCCGTGGATCAACCATGAAACCAACCCAAGGGGACTATCAATTCCTATCTGCGTAGCCAATTCCTACAGTCCCGTTGGAATATTCTCATCCGCTTATGCACACACGAACAGGACTGCCTATGGGCCTAGCGGGGTGCCCATGGCGGCCCATGGGTGACCCATGGGTAATTGTGGGAGTCTCATGGGTCGTTTGGGAAAACTGTAGAAAGTGTGGGAGACCCGAAATCCACAGCAAAGTACAGCGGGGGGGATGCGAGTGAATCCCCACGGTGCCCACTTGCACTTGACGTGGGTGAGTCTTCTGCACATCATAATACCAGAAGTAGAGCATGGGTTCACGATCATTCATACCACCCTCTTACGACGTCATCTCCTCGTATTCTCAACTCTCTTCCGATTGTGCCCCCCCACGCCCCCAATGGGCGGGGGGGGCTTTCTGTCCACTAGTTAGTGCTGTAGTTGGTGGTTCAACGGAGACCGGAACAACAAACAAGTCCTTGAGTTTGGATAATTGAGACGGCATTGTACATTTTGGTACCCTAGCCCTAATCCCAAGCCCACCCGATACGTGCTAGGTTGGCGCTGGTGGCTAAGTTCTAGGTTGATGTGCAGGTGGCGAAGTTCTAGGTTGATATGCCGGTGGCGAAGTTCTAGGTTGAAGTGCCCGCGGTTGGCACTTCATGGGCACTTCATGGGCCGCCCATGGGCCGCCCATGGGTAACCCATCGGCAGTTCATGAAGAGCCCATGAAGAGCCCGTGGGCGGCCCATGGGTGACCCATGGGAGGCCCATGGATGAATGGGTCGTTTGGGAAAACTGTCTGCAGTGTGGGAGATTTGTGGAGTTGTGTGTAGTCTAGAGATCGGACCCGTAAGCGATGGGGCAAGCCCCCCACGCCCGGTACGTTACGAAGTACGATCTGGAAACGAAAACTTCTATCCAAACCGCAGGCTCCCGTTGAAGAGATATAATCTCGTAAGCCACGGGCACAAGAAATCGTCGTTGGAATTCTGTGAAGAAAATGAATGGAAAATGAGGACGGGGCGAGAAGGAATTCACGTATACCTACTGTACAACGTTTTCTGTCGTTGATGTGATACCCTTGTTGCAGGTGTAGACTACATGTAGTCGATGCGATCGCGCTCCCGCCTCTTCCGCCTGCGTCCGTCCGTGGTTGGTCGGTGACGAACAACCAATATGGTATCACACATGGTCATGTGAAACCGTTGAGTCCTTCGCGCGCGCGGGTGACTGGGTAAACAGACGGATGTGTTACGGTTACATAGTTTACGGTACAGGGAGTTGCACCCTTCGGGATTAGCGTTGTTCCCATAGGGTGGTGTTGACAGTTCTGTACAATTGCGGAACCCCTAGTCTCGGGCTTCGTGCTGCCGCACGAAGCCCACTTACTTACCTTACTTGCTTACTCTTCCTGTTGGCATCCAGTGCTCAGCAATAATCAAAGTGCATACCGTATCCACGACTGGAGATCCTCTCCACGCTCCACAAGCCTACACCTAGGCTTCCTCTACCGCTGTTCAAGCGCGCACCTTCGAACTCGGTACCGATCGAGAGGCTGCTACCATCAGGTCGGTAGCTTTGGGTAATCTTTCCGGAAAGCGTGACTCCCTTCCTATACACACAACCCTGGACTTGTGGCCACGAATGGCCACAAGCACATGCCTAGATAGACCCACTCAAGTCACGAGATCCATCCCAAGTCAGAGCCTCTCTTTCCGTCACAGATGTCAACACAAGACGAACGACGAACAACACGAGCACCAAGAAGAACCCCATCACCAGCAATGTTGCTGTTACAGCAACAACAACACAACAACACCAACACCTGTAGCCATTCGGCTACCCCTGTGTGGACCTTGCGGGCAAATATACCCTGCACGGACGCTGTGACACCGTGGGAAGGTAATCAGTCCCTCAAACGTCCACGGGCAGGAACCCTGTCAGGATGTCGACGCTGCCAGGATTGCGTATTAGGCAGATCTGTGGGCCGTGAAAGGCAGCCCGGAAGATCCTTCACGTGGACACACCAATATGTTCTGCTGCTGTAGACTAAAACTAGCATCCAATCCGATCGATACGGCCATGTTCCCTCTTTTCTTGTCGCTCCCGGCAGTCGAATAGTATTGGATACAGTATTCCACGGCGTCCACATAGGAATTGCAATATATAAACCATGCATTTTACAGGGACACAGGGCTTCCACTTAGGAGTTTGGTTTCTTGCTTCCCACGGTGTTCGCAAGAGGACATGGTCGATGTTGGCCCCCGGTTGTATCTCCGATTCGATGGTCACCCAACAAGTTCATCTCTTGCACAGATGCATGCGAGTCCATTGCTTTCTCCCTATGCCTATAAGGCCGTTTCCTACAGCAACGAAAAATCTCGGACAAAAAAATGCGCAATTTCCTGCTTGGCAAAAAGGATTATCCACGCGCCTCGACGGGCGCGCGCGTGTGGTCTCTTCTTTGGCGTTGTCGGAGTATGATGTTCTTTTCCACGCCATATGACTTCTTTGTTTCTGCAAGAGTTTCAAATGTGGGGTGGGCCGTATCTCTCATTCTGGGTGTAGATCGTCATGGTTGGCCCGAGATGGTTCATTTGTTCAAATACATGTAGCTCCGCCGCGTGAAGAGGAAGCGGCGTGACCTTCCGCATGGGCCGAAGAGGTGCTGGCGGGATCGCGGCGGCTGGAGGACTGCCCTGCATGCCCGCCGCCCCTGGAAGGCAGGCGGACCGAGCGGGCGTCGTTGCCGCGCATCGCCGCCGGGAGCGGCCGCGCGCGAGAAGGTCCACGCTGCCTGCGTCAGACCCCTCACCGCCGTTGTCGTCGTTGTCGAACCGGTTGGGGTCGACGGTCAGCTCTTCGTCCGTGGAGTCGCTGCCGGGGTCGCTCTCCGGGTCGTACTCTGAACCGAACTCTTGCATGGGTTGGACGGCATCGTCCGAGTCCTGCATCCACGGGGCGACTGAGGTCGGGAACGGCGGAGGGTGCAAAAGTGCATGAGTTGGTCGGATAGAGTGTGGTATGCTGTGGGCGGGAACTTTGCCGGCGCTATACGCCCTGACAGAGTTGCGAATGGGTGGTGGAGTGATATATGTATGTCCAAGGCGCATTCGCGGCCGTGCCGTATTGTGCTGTGTTGTGGGGCTATTTTGCTGTGCTACTGCTGTGTGTACTTTGCTGCCTTTCCTGCTGGATTTCGTTCTCTCCGGCGCGTACAATGTGGTGACTTCCTTGCCTAGACGCCTAGCCTGAGGTACATGAATGAAGTATAATCTCGACTTCAGATCAGTTCGATCTAGACCACCGAGGAGTCTGATCTGCCCAAAAAAACCGAAGTGAACTGATTTATTTGTCAAATCTGCCAAATGAAAACGAACACCTGCAGCGCATCGCGAACAACCCGACCGAGAGGTCCGCCGCTTGCAAACCGCCAGATGGCTGTTTTGACGTGGCCACTGTTGGTAAACTCGTGGCTTCTGGGGGAAAAAAGATGGTGTATTGATGAGATCTTGGACCAGGAGAACAGGTCAAAAGGTGGAGTGGGCTGGGTGCGCGAGCACCGCAGCACCAGCCATGTCGCTCGACCAACGCACAAAACGCGGAACGCAGTCCAATTTCCGATCCGACATACCGAGAACATTCTAGGCATTCCAGGAACATTCCTACAATACGACAGCAGTCCCGTTAGGAACCTTCCTACAAAACGACAGTCCCGTTATTTGAACTGTCGACACACACAGCAGCAACTATCACGAACAGCCACACCACATATGGGGAGCTATCGCTCCTGAGAAGAACACACCAAACGCGTTACGTCGTGCATGGCCTCTGTGCGGTACCCGACCGAGTGTTCTTTGGATCTCTACGTTCTTATAATAATACCAAAAAAAATTGGATGTAAGTGAAATCGAGAATCAGATGTGATTTCTCAAGAAAACCTTACTACGTTCGCTTGTTGTCAGCACAACGTTGTGCGCATGCTGCTGCCGGGCCGGACCGATACATTATGCATGGGAGGCCACGCGGCGTACCATGGAGAATCAGTTACAGCTGACGTTCGCGTGGCAAGTTCGTGATAATGTACTTGAAGGTGCAACCTTTGAGCGTTAAAACAGAGGCCCATCATTGATTTCAATTTCATCCATCCGGCCTGATCGGTAACTACTACTGCTGTATAGCAATGTGCAAAAGTCTACATATCGTGCCAGCTCGAGGGGGAGGGGTGCTGACGACTTGGCTAGGATATATCGCTAACCCTAACCCCATCAACCCAACCGACAAAGCTATGGCATTGGAGAGTGCTAGGTCGCCGTACCCAGCAACCCTAGGCCGCGGCAAACCGCGGCAACGCTAGTTTTTTTTTTTTTTAATCTTCACTTCAAATCAGCGCTCACAGGACTAGTGCCGTTTACTCCAACCCGTGGTCACACAGAAGAGCCTCTCTCTACCCTCCCCTCCTGCGGCGGTACTTTGCCTTCGATTTTTAATGCGAGAAGAGTTCAGCACTCTCTTCCCTCTGTGTACACACGAACTAGCGCTATCCACTATTTAGACCAGGAGCGGAAGCGAGAGAAAAACTCACTTTGCAAGAAAAGCTCGCTTACGCCGGGATTCGAACCCCTGACCTGACCTCTAGAAGGTTTCGCGGGTACCAACTAGACCACCGGGGCGACCGGTTATTGCACGGTGAAAAAGCTAGGTTGCTGCACCGTTTGTTTGCGTTCTAGGTTGCAGCTGTCCCGTTTAGGCTAAGCCGCGGCGCAGGAGGGGGTAAGGGCTAGGTTGCTGTGCACCGTCAGGGCTAGGTGGTTGTGCACCGTCAACGCTAGGTTGCTGTACGGTGCCAGGGCTAGGTTGTTGCGCACCGTGAACGCTAGGTTGCTGTATATGGTGAAAAGCTAGGTTGCCGTGCAGGGCTCACCTACCCAAGGAATGTTCCAAGAAATGGTATCTCGACATGGAGACCACCGCTTTCGACCAAGTCGTCAGCACTACTGGCCAGCTCTCCGATCTCCAATGGTCGTATTGCTACATCCATGTGCCCTCGAACATATTCATATTATGACCAAGAATGACGAACAAGATGGAACATGCTGAACAGGGAAGAGCCGTATTCATACGTATGTCCGGCACGTGAGAATCTCCATTTCACATGACTGAAGAGTGGACCGCTGGAAGAACTTTTCACCCAATCGGCAGGAGAGTTTTTTGGATCCGTAACGACTGTAATGTGCAAAATATATCGTGCCAGCTCTCCAATCTCCGATCTCCAATGCTTGTACTCTTCTTACATCCGTCCATGCCCTCGAACATATGCATAATATGACGAAGAATGACGAAGATGGAATATGCTGAACAGGTGAGGGAAGAGCCGTATTCATATGTATGTCCGGCACGACATAATCTCCACATGCCGAGACCGCCTTCGAAACGTTGGAATTGGAGAAACAGCCTAATAACGTTTGCATCTACAGCAGTGTGTATCTTCGGCGTACAATGACCTAAGCCTACCACCTACTTGGTGTGCTATTGGTACTTACTCTCTTGGTGTTCGGTGAAGCCGGACATCGGATCAGCTGTGTATGTAATGTAGACTTGAGAAGTAGCTACCATGCAGTGGCTGAGACCCGGTACCCAGTCGGGCTCGAGTGAAGAACTTGATTGCTTTACCATAGATAGCATGAAGTTTGTGAACGAGCAAGAAGTTTTGGGAGTTACCGACGTACGGACACTTTTTTTTTCGCATCGGAGAAAAACGGTGGTCAGATTGAACGCAATATTTTTTGTCGCACACCCCAACTTACACACCCACCACACAACCACCACTATCGCACCTCAGTCTCCAAAAACAGCGGCAACAAGGTCACACGCCGCGGAATCCTACTACTCGTGGGCAGGTGCGATCTAAAACTACACTTACTTTCCGCCCCGTGTCGGTCAAGGAGAACAAGGAGTTTTTTTGCCGTAAATAAAGTTTCTGTCGCACACCGCCCACACAACCACCATCATCGCACCTACCTCAGTCTACAACAACAACAGCAACAAGGCCAGGTCCGAAACCCTGCTCTAGCGTAGCTACTATCTAAACACGCAGCAGCTCTCCAGAATAGTCTAGATTTCGTCTTTCCGTATTCCCTGGGTGGTGGGCGCCATCTTTGTTCTAGGCGGGAGGTTAGTGTGATACAAATGATACGTACAGTAGCTCGGATCGATAGGAAGTGTGATAATGTACTTCTCGCGTTGGGTCTGGACAAGGACGAGCGGTGATGGAAGCCTACAATACCGCAACGATCCGAGCACAGTTTCGCCGAGAAGGCCTGATGTGGACGCTACGGCGAAGATAGATGGGGTGCAGTTGTGTCGGCCTCTCACACGTATGGCCACACGGAAGGAATGTCTGTCTGTGTTTTGGCCTCTCACACGTATGGCCACGCGAATGGAATGTTTGTGTTGGGCTCTCACACGTATGTATGCCCACACGGAAGGAATGTATGTGTGTGTCTCGGCCTCTCACACGTATGTATGCATATAGGTCGCCCCGGTAGTCTAGTTGGTAGCCTCGTAACCTTCTAGAGGTCAGGTCAGGGGTTCGAATCCCGGCGTAGGCGAGCTTTTCTTGCAAAGTGAGTTTTTCTCTCGCTTCCGCTCCTGGCCAAGTGGATAGCGCTAGTTCGTGTGTACACAGAGGGAAGAGAGTGCTGAACTCTTCTCGCAATAAAAATTGAAGGCGAAGTACCGCAGGAGGGGAGGGTAGAGAGAGGCTCTTCTGTGTGACCACGGGTTGGAATAAAAAGCACTAGTGCTGTGAGCGCTGATTTGAAGTGAAGAACAAAAAAAAAAAAAAAATGCATATGGCCACACGGAAGGAATTGAATGTTTCTCCTACTGCATACGTGTCAACTATTTACTACGTAGTAGGTATCAGCTGCGTATTTTACTGCTGTGGTCTAGAGATGAAAATATTCCACATCGCTGCGGGTTGTAGAACCTGCATGTGTGTAATCAAAGTGTGTCTTTATTGCTTGCATCGACCGCGTGAATCGACTGACCAAGAGGAGAACACGTCTCAGTTGTTGGTGGTAGGTGTTGTTGTTGTTGGTTGTTTTTGTTAGACAAATGTTTTCGCATTAAAATACCCTTCCTGTCTCCGCTCAGCTAACCATTATTTCCGTACATACATATATAATATGTATGTGCTGGTCCAACGCGGACGCCTTCCGTGGTCACAAGCCAACTGCCCCCAAAGTTAAAGGGGAGTACACCTCTCTACCAAGAAAAAAAATCAGTACAAGTATGGACCCCAGAATAGCATCCATCCCCCAAAGCGCACGATTTGTTTATTACCCTCGAAAAGGAAAACCAACCGGGATACAGACGATCGACCCCGGTCAAAAGGGATGAAAGACGAAAGACAACAAAGAAAGAGAGAAAGGCAAAGAAAGAAAGGAAAAATAATGGAGGATGCCCCTCCAACGCTCCAGTCCGGGACAACAACGAAAGAGGCAACTACTAAAGCGACACCAAGCAGAGAGATGACTGACTTTCGACGACAACATCATCACTTCGGGGGCACTGTGAGGTGGATACCGACACGACGGAAAAAAATATGGGGCGCAAGGGTCTGTGCGAAAAAAAAACGAACACAAAGGCCACCCCCCCCGCCCCCCCGGAGGGGCAAGAAATTCGACAAGTTACCATGAATCCTTGATGAATCGTCGAAAAATTACCATGACGTTGCAGTAGATGGATATAGTAAACGTGCCTCACTCTCGTTACCCGTTCTGCATCATCTACCTCCTCGTCATCGATGCCGGCCCACACTCATCACCCAGCCGTGCTACTACAGGAACACACGGAAACAAGTACTATCGATCAAAAAGCTCGAGATCAGTCCATTCAATTGGAACAAGTCATTGACCAGCTTTCACATTGAACCACCTGCCTTGCAACCTTGCCCTTGCCGCCTCTTCTATCTATAGCACTGCACAACAGGGAACATAGTGTCGCAAATCTACTCGTAGCCTTGGTCTCCTTGTAGGTAGGGTTGCGTATGACTTGACCAATTGGCCACACGGACGGGCGACTGGTGGGCTATTATAGCGGCTACCCCTGTTTTCTTGTTTTTTTCTCCCATCATTCATTGGACTCTGTGGTCTGCCGCTCTGGCCCCCATCCTCCACTTCTACTAGCTAGACGACCCAGCCGGGGTCACATAGGAGGGGGGGGTTGGACCCCCTCCTGCGGTTCCTGCCTGAGATATTTTTATCGGGAGAAGGGTGCAGCAATCCCTTCCCTCGCGACTTATGAAGTCGATGTAGTTTACCAACAACGAGCTTTGGTGCGCGTCGCTTCCAACTTAGACCAGGGTTTATTTAGTGAGAAAAAAACTCACTTTGCCGGGATTCGAACCCATGACCTGGCCCTTAGTAGGCTGCGAAGGTACCCACTAGACCATCGGCGCGACCGAAATTATATGTACGGTTGTACAAGATGCAAAGATTGCGATGATGGCCCTAGTGTGCGGGGTGTCTCCCATCTCTCGGAGGTCTCCACAGCTCCACAGAGAGAGCCAGCAGCGCCAGCGGTGATGCACACCATGCGAGAACGGGACGCCGAAGTACCAACGCCTCGGCAGACCCGGGGATACAAGGGTATATCCCCGCCCCCGCCCCCGAAGCGCCGATGCCTCGGCGGAAAACTCGGGGATGCATGGGTATATGGCCCCCTCCCCAAATGCCCCCCCCCCCCCCCAAATGATCCCTCTCCCCGATGT